TCACCCATAGCCAATTGATGTAATCTTGAAGCTGAGCTAGGCAAATCCATCTGAAGCAATCCAGTTGCTCTTAACTCTCTTTTCTTTTGAAAAAGTGGTTGAAACACTTAACTATTACTCCCTCCGTCCCAAAATATAAGATTATTCATTTTGAACGGAGGGAGTAACATATAAGAAAGAGAAAAATAATAAAGAGTTTAGGGCTACAATCTTAGATGTAGGTTCCATGCAGTAAAGTTTTTTTTTTTTTGAGAACATGCAGTAAAGGTTTTCAGTCCAGGGATGTTTGGATTTTTTTACATTTAATTGGGTGCTTTTGTAGGTAGATGGTGTGTTGTGACGAGACTGTAGTTTCTCGTTTATCTTAATATAAATCAGAGAAAACCCGATTTATTTTATTTTTTACCTGGACTTTTCACAATTGTTTTTTGCATAATGAAGCTCGAGAACCAGTAAGTTTATTCAGGAATGAACCAGGAACATTGCATTTCTTCTAGGATCATCTGAGTGTGGTTCCGAGCACGCGGTTTTTCCTGGGAGATTTATTCGATTTGTACTGTTTCATATAAATTCCAGCATGTAATCCCCAGAACTCAGATGGAATTAATAACCTTAACAAGACAAAACAAAAAGAAGAGAAACACCATGCCAGCCGTCTATAGTTTACCCATGTACACTGCACTCGGCAGCTCTAGCTAGCTCACGGGGCCAGCCACTCAGGCCACCGGCGCCGCCCCATCCTCCTGCGTCCTCACCGCCGACCTGCAGACCGGGCACGTGGAGCTCAGCCGGAGCCACGCGTCGATGCACCCGACGTGGAACGCATGGCTGCACGCCGGGAGCAGCCTCCCCAGCTCGCCGTCCTCCATCTCCCCAAGGCATACGGCGCAATGCTCAGTGACGGCGGCGGCCGACACCTTGGCAGACGAAGACTCCCACACGAGCACCGGCAGCGCGCCGAGCTCCTTGGCGCCCAGCCCAGCGGGCTCCGGCGCGCACACGGCATCCACTGTGATCACCTCGAGCTCGTAGCCGTCCGGCGGCCGCTGCAGCGCCAGCGCCAGCGCGTGAGGGTTGCTCAATGCGGCGGCGGTGGTGGTGGCACGACGCTGCAGGAAGCACCGGGCGTAGAGGTGGAGCGCAGCGACGAACGCGATTGCCGCCGAGAGCGCGGTCACAGCAGCCAGGAGGACGTTGGTGTTGTATGGAGGCGCAAACGGCGACATGGCTGGATGCTGGTGGGCACGGTGCAGTGTGCAATCATGCATATGGCAGTCCAGTGACCAGCGACTGAACCATATGTACTATATATCCGAAGGCAGCGGGTAACGAGTGTCTCGGTTTCTTCTCACAAGTTGCAGATTTTGTTATCTTCAACGAACTCGTGCCTGCGCTGCGTTTCAATGCCAGCATACCCCACATGTCATCGACGTACCATCGACGTCAAATGCCGCCTTTTGCTCGCCACATAAACTATGGCTTGCCTACATACCTTTCTGCACAAAAACTATTGGCAACTTGTGGCGACCAGCCAGCCAAGCATACGTCCGTCCGGCCCCTACAGCCTTCGTAGTGCCGCATGAAATCGTGGGAGGTTTTGGCACACTGCTGCGCCCCGTGCCACCGGGTTTCTGGAGCAAGAAACTGAAACGTCTCGTGTCCTCACATGGATACGGGAACAGCACAGCAGAGGCGGTCCACAGCTTGGTGGGTAGGTCCGTCTCATGATGGCCCGAGAGTCCAAGTGAGCAGTGATCGTGCATTTCGTTCACTGACATCAGCCACAGGGAAACCAGAGGAGGACAGGGAACAATCCTTTGACTTGTTACTTTCAAGATGAACCTGCATTTTTCTTATCATTACCAGCAGTTACATCTTCTGGTACAGTATCTTTTTACAGTTACTTATTAGCGGTACTATATGTTTTCTTTTACAGTGACCAATAGGTGTTTTTGGTCGAATATTTTACACCGGGGGGGTTAGTCTTACTTCCACGCCGTCCGGAGAGGAGAGATGAATAGCTGGTTACTGTATTGAGTTAACTGTATGTATATACTGTCTGTATGGTTGTATCTGGAACAGACAATCCGGAACTTGCTGTTGTGCTGAGCCTACCTGCATCTCAGATTCTCAATCCATGAGCTTGTACCTCTTCTCCTCGACGCCGGTGACGCCCATTTGTATCTCGATTATGGTATGGAGTGGCATCTAGGGTACATTAGAAATGTGTTCAATTGGTTTAGCAATGCTTTTGCCAGTTTTCAGATACAGTGTTGATGCAACAAGAGAAGATCAAAATGCCATGTTACCTCCATGTCTGGAACTTCCCTCAAAGGCCTGTCCGCAAAATACGAGTACAGCGCTCGTAATACGGCCTATAAATAAGATAGACATTTTAAGATCAGCGCTTCTGATCAATGAATGATACGCAAGCTTTGCGTATTCGCGAAAAAAGATCAGCGCTTCTGCACAAGAGAGTTTCATCAACGGTAGCAATTTACCTGGTGGGATATAACGACCACTGGTGCTCGCTGGCGTTCGAGCTCGATGATAACAGGCTCCAACCTGAGGATTGTTAACAGAGTGTAGCACGTTGGTTAGGATGGAGGTAATAACA